CTCCCCTCGCAATAAAAGGCTACGTACTCTAGAGAAATCATTTTGAGCCTGTAAAGAATAAATGGTTAACTCCTCTTCATCAGAGATTCTTACAGTGCTGTCGCGGACGAAAGGGAACCCCAATGCTTTTCTAGTGGATCGCGAAGTTTTCTTATTTAATGTCAAGATTTTCCTCTTAAGGTATCCGACTACTTGCAACAACTTTTTTTTTGAAAAAATAAAGATATGGGGGATTTTTTTATAATTTTTAGATTTATTTAGTATATTTTAAGCAAAAAATCGTAAAATTAAAAACAGAAAAAAAAAAAATTATTATTATTAAAATGGGAAAAAAATGGTAAAAATTTACAAAAAATTACATAAACGTGGCCCGCTCTGTACAAAAATTTTTCAAATTCTCAATTTTTCAATTTTAATGTGTTACTTTGTTCTTCATGTTTGAAATGACCTTCAGGATAATAGATATTTTAATTTTTACAAAAACTAGAGACCTTTATCTTAGTGAATATATGAAATTGCCTAAAAAACCAGTGATTATATTTACATAAAGGACTGTAAATTTTGAAGTAACACAGTGATTGATAAATCTGAAGAACAAAATACGTCTACTGTTATACAAAACATTTACAAAAAGTTTCATCAAATTATTTTCAAAACTTTTTGAGCAATCGCTGTCCGTGTTTGAGTTTTTCGAAAAAAACACATTTCGAGTAAAACGAATTTTAAAGTTTGAGACATCTTGTGTAAAGTTATGGAATCTTCTTTAGTTAAAACACTTGCAGTTTTTGTTCTAAAGAATGGAAAACAAAAAGCTTGGTATTTTTATTAAGCTAATAAGATGGTCTACAAAATAAAATCATAAAACAAATTTGTCAATTTTTGAAAAATCATGATTTTAGGGTAGTCGGATATCTTAAGAATCTGAAAAACCTCACACATAGAAACACATGTACAAAGAATAAAAATTTAATTAAAAACTAAAAAAAATTTATTAATGCAGTTAATTACATCATTTATTTGAAAATATAATATTTTTCATATTTTTACATAAACAATAAGGTTTTTACTGTTTTCTTCAAGAATAAAGAAAAAAAGTAAGCATATAAGTATTAGAAGCAGTCTTAGGATTGTTGAGAAACTTTAAATCAGTCAGCTATGTGATGGGAGTCAGGGAAGAGTAGTCAAAATTTCGCTTCTGGCTGACCACCTGATTGGGACATCTGCTCATGTACCTCAGCGCCCAATGGTCACGTATACTGGGATGAGCTTAGTAGGTCTTGGCTCACATGAACTGCTGCGTTGAGTTTGGTGTTTTATGATGTAAGAGCCAGTTTTAGCTATACTGCGCCAAACATTCATAGGTCTGTGGTCTGGACGGAAAAATAAAAGAGAAATTGGATGACAAGATGGAGGGTCGAAAATAAAGAAGGATCACTGGGGTACCCCGGGGTCGTGACACTCGTGTTTACCAAAGATAGTAAACCCCTTGGGAAAAGGAAGAGATCACTAGAGAGAGAGAGAGTACCTCGGGATTGTGTGACACCCGTACCCACCTAAAGGTGAGCCCCTTGAGGGGCATGGGCTGCTGCGACACTGAGTTTGAGTTATATTTTTCTGTAATGGGGCTGCATACTGGTATTTCTACCTTTGAAGACCTAATACATTCGCCAGGGGCTGCTATCACTTCTTAGTGTGATACCATTTAGGCGATACCAATTAAAGCAATTAATTTTGACGCCCAGTTTCTTCCCCAGATGCAGGCACCTGAGCTCTGCCGATATGAAATTTGTACTTGGGAATTTAATTTTCCCGAGAGCATCCAAACGAAACTGACACTCAAGGGATCTTTTACATGCCATATAATCATACGACATGGCCGCTGTCGGTTTTTTACACCTGGAAAATCCGCTGACTTGGCAAAGTCGAACCCGAAAGATTATAATCTTGTTCAAATTTTCAATCATTAATAAAATACCTTTTTTTTTATCCAATCTAGTTCAAATACATTTTTTATACTTGTAGTGGATGACACTTGATGTTAATACATTTTTTCAAATATTAATTCATTAATTGTATTAAATTAATGAATAAATAGTAAGAAACAAAAATAATAGTCCAAACTTCATATATAAAAATTAAAATTGCTCGTTGTGTCTCTGCAGTGCAATGGATTGCGCGTTGATCTTCTAATTCAAAGGTCGTGGCTTCAAATCCTATCTAGGATGGCCTAATTTCTGGGAATTGGATTTATGACTGAATAAACAGTAACACAAGAAAATAATAGTCTAAAACCATATATAAAAAGTAAAATCACTTTCTGTTTTGCCACTTAATATTTTGATTCTCTCATATGTATATACATGTTTATATTAATTGTAATATAAGAAGTAAATACAATAAAATTTTTCTTTGTTGATCTATGGATTAGGGTTTCTTTCCCGGCTACCCGGGAAATTATAAGATTTTAGTACTTGTTTTATTCCCGGAAACTATACTTCGTTCTCGGGGGTTTCCCTGGAATCGCTGCGACCAAAACACGCTGGAATAGTTGTTGTTGAAAGATTTTTAGAAATAAATTGACATTTAAGAAGACAAATGATGGCCAATGTAGAGTTCGAAACTATGACTACAATTGTAGCAGGCTTAAAGCAAGTAAAAATTGGCTTTTAAAAATTATGCAGTTGAAATGAAACTTACTTAGAAGGTGTAGAAACTTAGAAGGTGTATTTTCTTTCGTTATTGGAGAATTGAACGAACAAAATTCAGAATTTGCGAAAAACATGAAATATTCTCTAATTCAAGGAATTAATTTAATTAACGCAACTTTAATTTAATAGGATTAATGCAATACCTGAGTTTTGGGAGAAAATACGAAGCCACTGCAGTCACTGTCAAAATTTCGCGATTGTTGTTAAAATTGGTTTGGTTAGACTAGTGTTTCTCAAACTGTGGGGCACGCCCCCTTGGGGGACGTGAGTACTCTACAAGGGGGCGCGAGAATATTGAAAAGTAGAAAACAAAAGATTATTTAAAGAAATATTATAATTTACTGAAAGTAAACAAACAAAATACTTTCTGATATAATAAAATATACACTGAGTGAGTGAGTGAATGAATATTAACGCCGCACTGTTCAGCTACACGAGGGGTTTTGGCGACGGACCACGTAATTTTGAACCATGGTCAAGTGACGTGGACGACACCTGAGCTGGCAACCCCTCTCCTAACTCCCCCTCTACACCAACGGGAGAATGTTTGAGCTCTCGACAGATTTAACGCGCATCACGTCCCTACATGGCAGGCCTTTAGTGGTACTGCGCTTGAACTCGTGGCAAGGCCAGCCACGATCCAATACCTTGACCACTCGGCTACCGCAGCCACACACATTTACACTGATATAATACATTTATAAATGTATAAGTACTGTACAATGCATTTTATTATTAATTTAACAATACAAAGAACATGGGCTTGTACGAACATTTATCTTGGCAATTTGTACGGTTTATAATTAATTCCTTAACTGCCGATTAAAAGTTACGCGATTCGCTCCCCAATGCCACCTTTTACCATGCAGTAGCGTATATTTTGATGTTTTTTTGGGAGGGGGAGTAGAAAAGAAATAAATAAACAAATTCTCTGAAATAAGTAAATCCTTCTCAAACACTGTCCAGGTCTTTTTATTGCATTCCAAAGGCTTTGGTATAATTTTACGGATAGCAGTGCACGGAAACGATCATAATTCTGAAAAACGTATATATACGTCCAGAAAATTAATGCATTCGCTGAGCGAGACGTTTTTATACGTCGATGGCGCTTGAGAAGGTAAAGTCGCATTGTAGCTTTAGTGTCAAAGTATAGTATTATTAAATTAAACACATTGTTATTGTATGAAGGGGGGCACAATAAAAATGATTGAATATTGGGTCACGAATGTTGAAAGTTTGAGAAGCACTGGGTTAGACAAACCCAAATGATAGGGACAAGGCTTTTCTGCGAAGAGGAGGAATCAATTTTCAACTCTTCACTCTCAGAAGAAGAGAGCATGGAGATTTTGAAAGAAAACTCTCTGGCGTTTGATGAAAAAACAAAGAAAGCAATTTACTCTAGAACAAAAGTTTTGTATTGTTCGACGAAGAAAAGTGTTAGTTTCAACAACATCATGACATAAGAGATGCAGTTGTTCGACTCGACTGAAAATCCATCACCAAACATTATAAAACTAAATGAGGATTTAATAATTCCTCCAACGTCAGTTGAAGCCGATACAACATTTTCTGCTGCCGGATTGTTCGTCACAAAAATTAGAACTAGGCTGAGTCATAAAAGTATAAATTGCTCATGCTTTCTGAAATCCTATTTTAAAAATGAATAATCAATTTATGATATATTTTTCGTATTTTTTAGCTCTTTATGTAAATAAGTATTACTTTTGGAATTTTTTTGTGTCCTTATTTTATATAATTATTATGGATATTATTTAAAAAAAACTTGTTTTTCAATATACATATATCCGGGAATGGAAGAACCCGGGAAATCAGAAACCCTAGAATGGATCTAAGTAGGAATTGACTTAATTTTTGAAATTATACTTCTTTTGGGGCGTTAGAGAAATAGGCTTAGGGTGAGTTTTTACGATGCGCGCGCACACCGTCACGGATGTGACACAAAACCGTCACAAAAGTAACGCACACCGTCACGGAAGCGAAATTGCTTTGTCTAGAAATATACAGAACGGGACAGATCATTGCCGTCTTCAAAATTCTCAGGAAAAATTTCTCTTCACTTCCCTGAAGAAATGGACACGCGGGTTTGAACCGGAGACCTCTCAACCTGCAGTCGAATACTTTACCACTGCGCTATACACCGTGTCAGCGAACCTTTGCTTTGAGTTCCGTAGGAACGGATACGAAATGCTTTGTCTAGAAATAGAAAGAACGGGACAGATCATTCCCGCCTTCGAAATTCACAAAAAACATTTCTCTTCACTTCCCTGAAGAAGAGGACACTCGGGTTTGAACCGAGAACCTCTCGATCTGCAGTCCAATGCTATGCCACAATGAGCTATACTCCCGCGTCAGCCAACCTTTGCATTCCGTAGGAACGGATACAAAAATGCTTTGTCAAGAAATATACAGAACGGGACACATCGCAAGACACATTAAGAGCTGAGCACATGCGATTTATTATTCACATGATTGTTCAATCACGTGTTTCCGGTCGATCATTTCATGCGCTTCACGGTTGCCAACTTTTGCTTTTTGCAGAAACATTCTGTTGACGAATACAATTTTATCACCAATCATAGCGTACATAGGTTTAAAAAAAAAATCACGTGATTTATAAGGTGGTTTTCGCCACATGTACGAGAGCGTGAACTGGACGCGGAGCACGTTTTCGGACATAAAAAATGCCTCAATTTTTAAGCTGCATTCACACCAAGGCAGTTAGCGTCGAGCCAATCAGAGACTTCATTTCGCCCGAGCTGAAGTCTGATTGGCTAGACGTTTAACGCTCGACGCTGACTGCCTTAGTGTGAATGAGGCTTTATAAAAATGTTAAATTTTAACTCATGCATTTATATATATAATATAGTTTTTTTAAAATTTCAAAGTATCTCATGAATAATTAGTTTTTTTTTTAACATGTAAAGGGATAGGTCATTAAGCATTAAGGTACAGGGGCCAAAAATACAAAACACATTTTATAAAAGAAAAAAAATGTTTCAGCTGGGATAAAAATGCGTAGTATGATAAATTAAGTGATTCTTTACATGATAGTGAAGCCAGAATATAATATTAATGTTTGAGTACTTTTATAT